AGTTATATCTACTTTAAGGGCTGGCTGAGTTAAACTTACATGGTATTCATTTACTAGGCACACATAACTGCACTAACTGCTACCGCTGACAGAGAACAAAGAAGTGAGCAAACCACTGAAAACTCAACTCCCTCAGAATTTTAAAACCCTTGTGGGTAGCCTCCTTGGCAGCATGCTACACCAATCCATTTCCTAGACATTTGGGAAATGTTATTTCTTCCTTCTCATATGCATGAAATTAACAAAACTAACATTTTTAACACTGTCTTCTCTTACTCCATAGAATTTGGGGGTACACTCTTGAGGCCTAAAAATCAAATTTACCTGAAACTCCCAGCTAGTGTAACTCAGTCTCTCAAATATTTTCCAAATGAGGACTGAAGCCAGGACTAGTTTTCCATGGTCACCCCAGGTCAAATAAGATTCTTAGGTTCTTATGATCTGGGCCTTCACCCAAAAGCTGATCCAAAGCCAGCCTCAGTGATGGATGGACAAGTATAATCTTACCAGGATACTCACCCTAGCATACTTTACTGAGACAATAAAGAACAGTCATAGCTTCCTAGCTCTCCTTTTATTTACTCATTTAAATCATATTTGTAAATGTCAGGCATCTATCTAACTAACAATAATTTACAAGCTCATTATTTAAAATATACTACACTGTACTTTTATTTGCAGAAGTCCTGTAAAGAAAAACAGAGGTTTGTGCCCCATCGGGTGGCCAAACTGGAAATTTCAAACAAGTTCCAGCAAGGCAAGTGAACCCTAACTAATCAACATAATGCCGTTGAGATACTGAAGCTGCAACACAAGTTTTCCCACGGGAGGGTTCTATAAACGAAAATCAGAACACCACAGCAATGCTTCTTTCTACATGACAATAAGGGAATGCAGTTAATGTAGTACATTTTCCAGATCATGCAACAGAAAATTAGTTCATGACCACTGCTTTCCGTTTACTCAACTTAAATAAAAGTCTCATGCTGGGGAAGTAGTTCAATGGTAGGTAGAATGGCTTGCTCAGTATGCCCAAACCCCTAGGTTCAATCCCCTGCAATGGAAACAAAACACTGGGTTTTCTAGTAATGAACAAAATCTCAAAAAAAAAAAAAAATAAGGTTTTTTTGGGGGGTATTTTTGGGGGAATTGTTGGTTTTGCTTTTTAAGACAATCTCACTGTGTAGCTCTGGCTGTCCTAGAACTTACCATGTAGATCAGGTTGACCTCAACTCACAAAGATCCTCCTGCCTCTTCCTCCCAAGTGCTGGGATTAAAGGAGTGTATCACTGTGTCTGGCTTTTAAGTTTTTTGAAAAATGATTTTTTGAACATTAATTTATATTAGGATTTAAAAGTAGCCCCTTAAACTCTCTCATCATAAACATAATTAAACTATAACAAAACATAGAAACTTAGAGTTGAATGGGTGCTTAGGTTATACAAGGCTTACTTCGAAACTATCAAAGTTCAGTTCTCCAACATCACATACTGATGAACAACCTGAAACCCCAGAAAGAGGAAGTGATTTCAAGATCACACAGCTAATATGACCTGGCTCCCAACTCTGTGTGTGTGTGTGTGTGTGTGTGTGTGTGTGTGTGTGTGTGTGTGTGTGTGTGTTGGCTTAACCTTTCTAGACTTGAGGTTTCTTTGCCACAAAAGCAAGGAAATAGGTAATCTTTGTCTTTCAATTCCTAAACTTCGGAGAGCTAATTGTTTTAGTATCTCGTGCTTACTACAGTATACACTAAAAAGAGTCTGTCTTGGTTCCTGAGAAACCAAAGCACAGGAAAAAAAATCATGTCAGCAATCAAAGGCATCAAATATATCTGTCTCTTTTGTTAATATTCCATAAAGTATTATCTGACTGCACTAGTCTATTTGGATGAAACTGGTCTCAGTTGATTTCAATAAACCTATTACAGACCTCTAAAATACACAACCACTGATTCTAAAATTTTTAAAGGATTGTTACAACATTTACTGAAGTACCATTTTCCACCCTGAGGTTGGTACTCAGGTTATTAGAAACAAAGATGTCTTTGCTCATTTGTATTTCTTCTTAAACTATTCATAAAGCATCAACTAGATGTCCTGTATATGGTCTTTCCATGTTTCTCAATTTTTTTGTGCTTATTCTGACTATGAATGCCACAATTTTTTGGTTAAAGACTAATAATTTTCAGGATGTTGATGTGACATTAACATTAATAATTTTAGCAATTCAACAAATTAAAAGTTAAATCAAACATCTAGGAAACAGAAAAGGCCTTAAAAGGCTCTGGCCCTATAGGTATTTTTTATGGAAAAGAAGTGAGCAGGAAAAGCAAAGCCATTCTCTCAACATACACAAGAACTAGCACTTTCCATGCCGCCCTATATCCATAATATTACACAGAATTATAGATGTAAGAAAAATGCTCAGCTTCTATCTGAAGCTCCGCCTAACTCAAGCAATACTTAATAAACTGACATAAACAAAGAGGCTGAGCAGTTCAAAGCACTAGAAAGCAGCCTAGGCTTGAATTAAAATTAATATATCAAAATGTCATCACCAGTGCTTGAAAAACAAATCCAAGTATCTGTTCTGCTGTTTTGGAAAGCACTGTTTTCAACTACATGAAAATACATATTACAAAAAAGTAAGCAAAGATCCCTAGCTAACTTTTTAATATGCATACCTTTTATCCCTGACTTTTTTTTTTTTTGAGACATGGTCTCTTCCCTGACATTTTTAAGTAGCTAATATTCCCAAACCTTAAAAATTCTTACTCATACCTCTATGATATTTTGACAGGAACAGCACCAAATCTTTAGAAATAATACACAACACAAAGACTACACTCCCGTGCAAATGTCTTTAATGGTTCCAACTTACAAAGAAAAAAGCCCCTTATTTTTCATTTTGCCTATGGAACAATGAACTTACCAAGAATATGAGTAAAATAGTAAGGAATCTCTCTGTAGAATTAAATTTCAATTATCCACAATAAATGAATTTTTCTAAAAGTAATTTATAGTTGGTCTGAGAAAGATAATGCAGTCACTCAGAAGCATAGGAATTCTGTCCCTCTGTGACCAATCTAGAGTAACCATTTAGAAATATAATAGTAACCAAATAGACTATGTAAATTGAGGAGTCCCAGAGTCACTGTGGTACTCCTGCCACAAAGCTGACAATACAAATCAAGGGTTAATTGCATTTTTAAACTAAATCATATGCTTCTCCTTCCAGTCCAAGATATTCCAAGTTAATTCTATAAAATAGTCAAATGTTGAAATACTTAAAACGAATCATAGGATGCATCCAAGCACTATTACTTTGACCAGAAATCAAGCATTGCACACTGTGTAATAATACGATGTGCTTCGGCATGCTCCAGTCCTAAGCACTCTGAAGAACTGGCAGTGGTGCTGAAAGTGCTAGAAGGAAGATGAAAACCAATGCCCTTCTTTCAATGAAGCCCACCATCTGGATTCTAGCCAAGGTTTTAAACCTGACTGGATGTTATTGCAAGCAATAAATCAACACACTACAGCCTGAAATGTTAGAACCTTTTCACACAGAATGTAGTGTGGCTAAAGAACACTACAAGGAAACTGTCAAGAAAGAATTAATAATAAGCCATTCCTTTCTAGCATTAAATACAATATGCTATAGGCAAACTTATTTTACAGTCTTCAAAATTCTGTTTAACCTAACTACACCCTTTCCCCGTCTTCGCTTATTACATTGACTACATGAATAAATGAACTTACTGCTGTTGCCTAAACATCCTATCACTAAATGTATATAAAGTTAAAAAGAAGATCCCAAATATCTTAATTCATAAAACCTAGCCAATGAGAGAGTGTGTGTGTGTGAGTGTGTGTGTGTGTGTGTGTGTGTGTGTGTATGTGTGCCCGCGCTCCTATTGATTTTATACTCTTTGTTCCTGCTCATACCATAGATGTGAGTTCCTGGAGGTTACAGATCTGGCTGTCTTTCTCTACCCAGGAGCTGTGCTACTAGCTTCTGAGAATAACCTACTGCAAGCTTAAAACCCTTCAGGTATCCTAGTTTCTAAATATTTAAGTAGTTTTCACTGTCTTTACTATTCCCAATATTGACTCAAGGTTCCTTACTCACACGATCTATTAAATACCTTCCAAAAGCTGTGGAAGAAGAAACTGTGAGGAAAGGAGAAACATGACTAGTGTAATACACAAGTAAGGTACAGTATTATACCTTATAATATAGTGATTTTCTCCCTAACAAGAACTTAGCAGAAAATCTGAATTTTTAAATAATCCTCTTGCCTCCTTCCTCTTCCCTCCTTTCCAAAACCTGAGAAGAGTGAAAAATCCAAAGATGTACAGTTAGTGCAATCAGTACAAAGACTAGACACCGTCTCCTTATCAAAACAGAACTACTGGTTCAATGCGTTTGGAAACTATAACCACTGCATTAGGTGATACACGTTTCACCAAGTTTCAATCCTGTTACAAAGCCTTTGTCAACAGTGGGCAAGTGGGGGTAAGCCCACGGGCTCAGTGGCATGAAGGCAATCGCTAGAGGGGCTTATCTTGCAAGATTCCTTGGCGAGAGGTGAGCAGCGAGAAGCACCTAACCTTGGCGAGGGGGTAATCTTCCGCGGTGGAGACCGACCGGAGGTCAGGGGGAGAGGGGAGGAGGTGGCGCCGAACCGCCGCGACCCCGGGCCGCCGTCACACCTGCGGCTCAGCCTCCCACCACCATTCCCCAGCCCCAGCCCGCTTGTGCCCTTCCTCTCGCCGCCGCCTGCATATCCGTTACCCCGGCGGCAGAGGGCTGCGGGGGAGGGGAAGGACGGCCTGGCAGCCGGGGGCCCGGAGCGCAGGGGATGCCGCAGTGGCTCCCCGCGGCGGTGGGTCAAAGTCCGCCCGCCCCGGCCGGAGAGCTCAAGGCGGCGGCGGAGGTCGCAGCTAGGGAGATGGCAGCCCCTCCGAGCCCGCCCCGACCCCGGCCGCGGCGGGTACCTCATACTGGATGTACTGCTTCCTCCACTCGGGAGTGATGTGCGCGGAGAGGTGCTCGGCGAACTTCATCCTGCCGTGTCCCCCTCACTCCCACCAGGCTCCGGCAGCTACAGGCGGCGGCGGCAACAGCGACTCCGACTCCTCCCCACATGGGCCCCGGCGCTGCGCGGAGCTGCGCTTCTCTCCTCCTCCGCCGCCGCCGAGGTCTCCTCAGAGCCGCCCTCCCGCCATCTTCCTCCTCCTCTTCATAGCCCCGCCCCTCCCGCCCACTAAACGTCATCGCCATGGTAACCGCCTACGCCGCTCGGGCGGACGGGGCGGAGTACGGGGCGGAGACTCAGTGGGGCTTTCCGCCATACTCCGCCCCTTTGGGCCGGACGTGGTGAAGGCACCTCCCCTGACCTCTTCCGCCTGTCTCTTGTCTTCCTGCAGCTGCTATCTACTGCCTGCCTGGGAAGCAGAGCTGTTGTTATTTCAATGAATATTAGTACTGAAGCAGCAATAATCCCCACAAGACGCTTCTATTTGCAGAGAACTGTGCAAATATTTTTCCCATTTTAATATTGATTCTTCATAAAACCCTTAAAGATGAATCAGCACTAATCCAAATTGAATAGTTGAAACAGTTAAGAGCCAAATGTATTTAAAGGAACTATATTTGCACACTCTAGGTGCTCAATAAATGCTTGTTGAATTCAATTTAAAATGCCAGCGCCAAAAAATATGTGCTGTTTCTGCCTTTCAATGTAATTGTCTAGTTAGTCCTGGAGTTATCAGAAAGACCAAAACACCTGGAAACAAACCAGGGCAGAAACTAATCTGTGATCCAGCTCATTGGGACTGGGGACAAGGACTGAGAGGGAAAACAACGCTGAGAGGAAAACGAATCCTGCTGGCATCCACCCTCTGGTGAGACAGTCCTGTATCCAGGCTGAATCTCTGGGACGATACCACTCACAAAGAAAGCACCACCGTATGAGAGTGACGCCCTGGAGGACTTATTTGAGGCAAAAGCCCAGATACCACCCTGGGTGGAGGAGCACTGGATAACATAACAGTTGGCATTTTTTGAGCTCGTCTGTCCTTGTACCTATACCAAGCACTGTTCTAAACCCTTTATATGTACCTTGTCCTTTAATTTGATGAAATTCAAAGGTTTGCTCGGAAGTATTGTACCTAAGACAATATAGATCTCTGTTGTTTGCTTCCCAATACACACACACACACACACACACACACACACACACACACACACAGCATATTGTTTTCTTCCCTTCCATTTAATTCCCACCAATAGGGTTCTATAAATGTTTCTTCAGGAGATAGATGGGGCATGAGGCTTAGTGGAAAAAAGCCTAAGTCTTTCTGGCAAAGGTTTGTACAAAAGCCTCAACCTCCAGCGTTAATCAGGGGCTAAAGAGATTGCTCAACAATTGAGAACAGACCTGAATTTGATTCCCAGCACCCACGTCAAGCAGCTCATAACCACCTGTTACTCCAGCTCCAGAGATATTTGTGGCACCCGAGGGCACCTGTACTCATATGTGTGTACCCACACATATATGCATAACTAAAAATAATAACAATAGATTGTTTTTAGAAAGAAAGGATAATCAAGGCCTAAGAGAAGGAAAGGAGATGGAGGCCTCATCTTCAGTCCAGTACTCCTCCGCCCCCCTCTTCTAAAACAGTCTAGTGTCAGGAGAAAAACACAGGCAGTAGGGGACACTATACATTGGGCACAGTGCTCCCACAGCACAGCCCACCCGTTCCTTAACTGTATATAAGATTCAGGAACTGTGGTCTGGTTGAAGGAAAAATCCTTAGTAGTAGTTCTAAAACCAATAATTCTTCGGGGTTTTTTTCCAGGCTGACTCAAAGTCCAGCTGTCCAGTCAGACACAAAGTCTTCATTTATCCACACAAGTAGTTAAGGGAAAAAATGTGACAGGGTCTCATTATGTAGCCCTGGCTGGCCTGGACTTCTCTAAGTAGACCAGGTGCCCTCTAGCTCAACAGAAATCCTCCCCTACCTCTGCCTCCTGAGTGCTGAGATGAAATGCACACACCATCACACCCATCAGAAATTTCTTCCTTCCTAGCATTATTACAAACGTTTCAACAAATATTTCAATGGTGTTTACTGAACACTTACTCTCTGTAGAGTATAAAGCTGAGTGTTTTGAAGATATTATGAATGGTTTTGCTGTGAGCCAGAAGGACCCTCTGCTTAAGACTTTCCCTTTGTGAACATAATCTCTATTGAACAAAACTCTGCTGAGCATTGTAATAGTCCAGTCATGCCCTTTGGGAATGAAGGACAGTTCAAAACTACATAAAACTGCCTTTTCCTTGAAGGAAACCACAGTCTAGTCAAAGTGATGAACAGACAGACTAATAACCTAGAATGTGCTCTATGTCGTGAGTTAGGTTTGATAAAGAAACAAATATCTAGCTGAGGGAAAAAGAAAAAAGATGGTGTCATGGAGATGATTTTGAAATCCGGTCTCAGACAATGATGACAAGTGAAAAGGGACACCTCAAAGACCTCAAGGGCATATAGAAAGATGCCAGGATTGCAAAAGAGTAACTTGATGTTACATGACCCAAATATCCTCCAGAAAGCTGAAACTGCCTGCCTGGTCCCTCTCGCTTGATCCAGTTGTGCTCCATTCACTGTATTGCTGTTAATATTTGATCAGACCATGAGCTCCTTGAGGATTAATTGCTCATTTTTCTTGTCTTCTAAGACTGAGAGCAGTGCCTGGCACTTAGGCATTGAAAAAGAAAGTAGAGAAGGAAAGAAGGACGAGAGAAAGGAAGAATGAAGGGAAGGGAGAAGAGATGGAGACGGAAAAGCAAGACCACCTGAAATCTCAGGAAACGAATGGAACAAGATTGTAAAGAAATTGTGGTAGTTTGAATGTAATTGGACCCCATAATCTCACAGGTAACGGCACCGATAGGGGATGTGGCTTTGTTGGAGGGGGTGTGGCCTTGTTGGAAGAAGTGTGTCACTGTGGGAGCAGACTTTGATGTTTCTTACGGTTAGGATTTTGCCCAGTGTCTCAGACAACTTCCTGTTGCCTGCAAGGTGTAGGATTCTCAGCTACTTCTCCAGCCTGCATGCTGCCATGCTTCCTGCCATGATGATAATGGACTGAACCTCTGAACTATAAGTCGCCACATCAATTAAATGTTTTCTTTATAAGAGTTGCTGTGGTCATGGTGTCTCTTAACAGCAATAAAAACTCTAAGACAGAAATTGATCACAACACCAACATGGAGTCTGAAGAATTTTTATTAAGTGCCTAACTTGGGTCTGGGCAAGTAGCATATAAATGTTTCCAACACTGACTCTAGGAATAGGCCTAAGCTCCTAACTCTGGTATGTATAAGCTATATAGCCTTGAGCAAGGTACATTAGCCTTTAAAGGCCCAGTTTCCACATTTCTCCAAAGACAATTAGAATACCTCCATAACAAAATTTTTTGTGAGATAAATGAGATTCTGCACTGACAGCACTTAGTATGAAGATGGACCCTGATTGAGCATTCCATAACTAGTAACCTCTCAAAACCTGTCAGCAAAGGGAGGGATGGACTACAGTGGGAACAGACTCAAGACCAGTGTACCTACAAGCACTTACTATATACTGGCACTGGTCTGACCACTTTGCAAATGCCAACCTAATCCTCACAGTAACCTGTAAGAGGTAGTTCCCATCATTATCCTCACTTGGGAGCTAAATAAAGCAGAGGGGGTAAGTGTCTTACAGGAGATCACCCACCTAGTAAGTGGTAGACCTGCATTTGAGCTGATGCCACCGAGCTCCAGAGTACCTTTGAGTATTGCATTATGTGTCTGTAGATGCAAGAGTTCAAGCCAGATGGGGCATATGAATGTAAGGACAGAGGAGATAGTGTGTCCATACACTGAGATGAGGAATGCAAGTGGAGAGTGGTTGGGGTGTTAAGTATTTGGAGATCTCGGATCAAGTGTGTGGGTCTAGAGCTTTAGAAACAAGTTGAGACTGAGGACTGGGGAGTGACTCACGTTTAAATGATAATTAACTCCAGCAAAACTACCCAGAGACAAAGCAGAGACTGGAAGGGAAAAGAGGCCACGGGGACATTCCTGTGTCAGGCTGATGAAGAATAGGTCAAGAAAGGAGGCCGAGATGTGGCCAGAGTGAGCAGCAAGACAATTAGGGGTGAGCGATGTCAAGAAAGATGTAAAAAGATGCAAGTTTCATAAAGGAAGCACCGATCAATAAGCCAAATGTCATAGAGAAGTTGAGCTGTCCAACTCCTAAGCTCTTGAGCTTAGCAAGTTGAAAAATCATTAATAGGGGTTGGAGAGATTTGGCACAGCAGTTAAGAGCACTGGTCGCTCTTCCAGAGGATCCGGGTTCAATCCCCAGCACCCACATGACAGCTCACACCTGCCTGTAACACCAGCTAAAGAGAATCTGACACCCTTACATAGATATTAATGCAGGCAAAACACCAATGCACATAAAATAAAAATAAATAGCCAGGCAGTGGCACACACTTTTAATTAAAGGGGTTCATTGCTTCCCTTTAACCCCAGCTTTCAGGAGGTAGAGGCAGGTGAATCTCTGAGTTCAAGGCCAGCCTGATCTACAGAGCAAGTTCTAGGATGGTCAGGACTACATAGAGAAACCCTGTCTCCAAATAAATATTATTTTTAAAAAGTCATATGTAAAAAAAGAAGTCATTAATAACCTCAGGGGAAAAACAGCTTTGATAACATTAAGGCTGTGTAATGCAGAACATTTTGTTTCTCTTGGTCCTACATTGTATTTATTCTGTGTACCTGTTATGCATACCTGTTGTGGAGTGACCAGGAGTGAGGATTTAATAGCACACCCAGCAATTTATTTAGAAATTCCTAAGAACTAACTATAAACGCTTTATATTTATCACACATAATTCTATGTTTAGGAACAATTATACTTACCACAAAGTAACTGTTTTAAACCTTAGAATTATGTGTGATAAATATAAAGCCAAACTGTTGCTTGAAGAAAGCAAGACTGGTGCTCGTAAAGACAGAGGAACTGACCTGCTGAGAAAACAAACCTTAAGATACACCTTAAGCTGAGCAAGCTATAGTGTCACGAGAGTTAAGAGCACGTTCAAAGTACACCCCAGATTCGCACTCATGCAGGGCCCAAGCTACACCCCAGATTCACACTCATGCAGGGCCCAGTGCAGCTTTAAAACACA